AGTGAATTGTAATCGTATTCACAAAATCTGACGGAGTGGGGGGTGGGTGGGTGGTGAGAAAAGCTTTAAAACACTTTTGGTTTGACTGATTAATACTCGTGCTGTACAATTTGTATTTGTAGACTATCTTTACTAAGGTGTTATTCAAAGTGTCGAATTACCATTTATAACCCTTTATATTTCTATAAGAGATCACATCATCGGTATTACTCCCAATGACCTTCATCCTCTAATGTACTTTATTTTTGTAAACAAAGGTGGGATAATTTTGCATACTTGACACACTGAAATTGATTGAGACATTACATGACTGTCTAGTGGTTCAGGAGTATGATGCAGTTATCTTTATGGTTGAAAGTTACAGGTTTGCACGCATCATTTAGTCCGTATAGCTGAAGAGTGCTAAACACTGTACCTTTTGAAATGACTATATATATATATATATTAAATATTCCCATAGTAAAATTTAGAACAACACATTTAAGCGAACAATATTGTTTTACAATTAGATCTCATCAGGCTTAACTCTAATATATGTAAGTTAACAAATAAAATTCAAATATAAACCAATCATGATGTTTTGTCTATAGGATAATACGATGGTGAATATAAATTGTGCAATTAGTCATGATACTAGTAATGATAATAATAATAATAGTAATCATAAAAATGGTCTTATCAATAATAAGGATGAAAAAGTGGGGCAATCTGTGATAACACGAATAATGAAAAACAGCATGATTAAACAAACAACTGTTCAGGTGGAAGTAGTCGATAAAGGCTAGTAAAAACAAATGAACCGATTAAGTAATGTTAGATTGTAAGAGAAGGAAATGAAACACGTTTATAATGAAGATAAGATTAAGGGAAGATAAGAAAGGGGTTGAAAATATAAACAAAGGGTGGTGTAGAAGTCATTAGTTGGTTATGTCTTAATAGGCCAAGGGAGGGATAATGGCTGCACGAACTTTTTTGAATACATAGTTTAGGTTGAACAGTTCGAATGCCTATCACCTCAGCTGTGTGCAGTAAACGAATACGAAGTCTATTGGAAAGATTCGGTGGGATACGATGAATTACTTTCAAGGCTCTCGTTTTCTCGATTACATGACCACTATCAATTAAGTGTGACAAGATTGAGCTATTTATATTCACCACCGTATTATCCTGTGCGTCGGTGGCATAACGGTTAGGATGCTCGTCGACCATGCATATGGTACGGGGTTCGATCCCCGGCCACAGACACACTCATTTACCTCGCTAAGCCAGAAATAAAACCGGTAAAGGGGGAAGGTTGGGCATGAGGCTAGCAACCTCATCCTGTAAAAATAAACACTGCTAAAGAAACTTCAAGCCACTAGCTTGAAGCCCTACGTTCCACTGAGAGCGTGAAGGAATAAAAAGAAATCGTATTATCCTATAGACAAAACACCATGATTGGTTTATATTTGAATTTTATTTGTAAACTTATATATATATTAGAGTTAAGCCTGATGAGATCTAATTGTAAAACAATATTGTTCGCTTAAATGTGTTGTCCTAAATGTATATATATATATATATATATATATATACAGCTGGCGTGACTCAGTTGCCTAATGAGTAACACTTTGACGTTTGAAACGATGAGTACTGGTCCCGAGCCTCTGTAAAAACAACATTCACTGAGATTCACACGTTTATCCACACCATAAGTCCTAATTATAACAAAACTCACTTTTCATGCTCTACTACTGTCTTACTAATGACATTGATTGGCGGTCACGCTTTATACATTAGATGGGTCATTGGATTCCGTCTGATTGACTCGATTGTATGCGGTCTCGCCTTGTAACCTGAAAGTATTAGGTGTTCGATCCCTGGTGTGGTCATAGGTACTTGTTGCTGAAGTGTCATAAATTAGTACGAAACAGCTTTCTAGTACTCCTTGGTTTTTAATAGTTCTCTAACTGATATCAATCTGTGATCAAACTTGACACCTACCATTTATCTAATGATAATTACTTTGACTCTGTGCTTACAAACCATGTGGTAATATAGTAATAATAAAGCTTTATTTCATGACAATACGTGAACATATATTACAGAAATTTTCAGCGTAGTTAGTTCTAAAATATTTCCTCTTCATGCAAGATTTATATAATAAAGTAATTATCTGATGTATATCTTGTGACCGTACCGTTGTTGCATTTGACGAGAGAACCAATTCTTTAAGTTTTTTCTACATTTCTTTCATGAATTGTGCAGCGTCGGTGGCATAGCGGTTAGGACGCTCGCCGACCATGCATATGGTCCGGGGTTCGATCCCCGGTCGGCGCACTCCTTTACCTCGCTAAGCCAGAACTAAAAGGCTAGCAACCTCATCCTGGAAAAATAAACACTCCTACAGAAACTTCAAGCCTCTAGCTTGAAGCCCTATGTTCCACTGGGAATGTGAAGGAATAGAAAAAAACAGCCATTAGTCGGAAGCCAATTAAATAGGCGCGCTGGTTCATGTAGTAGCCTTTTGATATAATTGCACAATTAAAACAGTAAGAAATGTGGGAGAGTTTAGACATTTTGATGGATAGAAATTTCGGTTGCCGCAGTAACTTAAGCAGGCCACCGGTTATGTCTCCTGATTTATGTTTCAAGTAGTGTTGTGGTGAGAGCTGGCTGCTAGCCAAAGTTGGTAGACAGTAATTGACGTCAATGTTTATGTCTCAAATATTAGTCATGTGAAAACGAGATCAAAGATGGACAGCAGGCTTTACGTAGGCGGATACAGTTAGCATATGGATGATCTGACACAGCCACAAAGAGATGCAAGGTTTACTTTCTGTGAGAAACAACGAATCAAAAGACTATATTTTCTGCTAACAATAATCTACAATAATGTACATTAAAATCTATAAATATGTGTTGATTTTCCTTAATAAACGATCTGTTGCCTGACCCTTATCTTCTGTTGTTACAGTGTTATGACGTGTAACTACATAAATGAACCCACATTTGAATAAGGTTCTACAGTTTATTGAGAAATCAGCTTTTGTGTTTAAATTCATTCAGTATTCTGTTCTGTTTGACAGTCGTCTGATAAGGAAATAGGCTGACCTTATGATGTACATTATTTTACCATATCACCATTCCAGTTGAAAAGAAAATTATGACATCAAAATAAGTAATTAACGTGGTTTTTCTCTCTATGTTTTACTAATAATTAATGATTAAATATGAAATTATACTTATCAGTCAGATTCTAATTCAACAAACTTTGAGTCAGAGCCGCCGACCTTTTATACACTGAATAATTTAGTTCATATAGATATGTACTTTATTTATGATATGGTTGTTTTCTCTGAGTGAGGTTGTTTAATTGTAAAGCTCAAGTATTGGTTTTGTAGGGATTTTGTTTGATTGCATGGAGGATTTCATCATGAGCTGACATCAGTTAGAGAACCACTGGAAAACCAGCTGGGAGTACTGGACAGCTGTTTCGTCAGACTAGTCTGGGACTCTTCGTCAGTACGCACCCACCGGAATTCGAACCCAGGACCTTCTGGTTACGAGGTGAGGTTTTCCAGTGGTTCTCTAACTAATGTCAGCTCATGATGAAATCCTCCATGTAATTGTAAAGCCTTTATTGTCTTTCTGAACAACATCTTCAACTGACTAACTGACTAGTTTCAACGCAGAACTCTCCACATAGGTGCAGCAGTTTGAGTTGCCACATTCTATGTACCACACAAAGTAAGAGAAGAGATTAAAGAGAGATAATAAACAGAAAAATGAGGCAAAAAGAATAGTAATATGTATTTTAAATCACAGTGAATGCATCTGCGCCATTGAGAACGATTTTGAGCCATATTACCGATTGTCTCCAGCTGTTGGTTCTTACCTTCCCGAGGATCCCAACCAGTCAGGAAGTCTACACTTCCTGGCATGGTTCTAACTAACTATTGTGAATTTCATTGACAGACGAAGCCATGTTTTGGTTTGACCACCACTGGCTCTTTTCCAACTTGGTCGTTTGCCAGCTATTATTGCTTATTGTCGAGGTAGACGATGGCTAGGCTAGGCATGCGTAACACATGTCCTAACCATCTCAATCGGTGTAACTTCACAACCTCGTCGATTGATTTCCCCTCCTTACCTAGCACTCGACCGAAGCCTAACCTCAATATTGATGACCTTATTATACCACTTCACACGGGAAATAGAAGGCAGACACCTACGATCAAAGACAGCTAGCCAGTTTTTCATGTCTTCCACTTTCAATGGCCAGGTTTCACGGCCATAAAGGAGGATGGAGTAAACTACTGAGCAGTACACACGTCTTTTGGTCGACAACCGGATATAACGTTTACTAAGGCAGAGATGGCGTAAGTTGGCGTATGCCAGACGAGCCTTCTGTATCCGTCCTGAGATTTCGTCAGTGATCAACCACACTGGCGTTGGCTGTTGCAACTTCCCAAATAAGTGAAGTGGTCAACACGCTCTACCACTTCATTCGATATCTCTAAGCTAGGAGTGAGTCAATATACTCCAGTCCTGTAGCATCACCTTACATTTTACAAGAGTAAATCACATGCCAAACATATGAAGATTTGTGCTCCTCATGGTGTTCAGAAGACTCTGCATTTTGTCAGCGTCTTCATCCGCATATTCTAAGTCAACGAGATTATTCCCTGGTGGTAACAAGTCAATCCCTGAGTCGCTGAAATCAGTTAGAGTTAAGTCTATATAGTACATCTTTGATGAAATTAAACAGAAACAGAGACAGTGGGCATCTACAGCGCGAACTTCAATCATCCACTTGACATACACGTTTCCTCTATGTACTTAATAAGTGTTTCATAGGACTCTCAACTGTTAAAAATCGAACAGTTTTGCTGATTTCAATGTATATATATTTTAAATCATTGGCAGTAGTATATATTGAAAATGATCTTATCAACTCTCATCATTGATTAATCACGCATATAATTTTAATGATATTTATTTCCCTATTCTCTTTCTAGGGTTTGTGTACATTATGGGAAACTGTCGAGGAATGCTGGGATCAAGATGCAGAAGCACGTCTTTCAGCTGGTTGTGTAGCTAAACGTCTTACATTATTACTTCATCAATCTGCAATACTGCAACAACTCAATGAGAAAAATGTCAACAATAATAGTAATAGTAGTGGTGAGGGTGGGGGTGGTGGTGGTTGTGAGGATAAGGGTAAAAATTCTGCAAATCCTATCAATAATGTTTCTCCCATATCCATATCGAATGATATAATCATAAGAAAACAGATTCTAGACATCTGTTATCCTCCTCCGCCTCCTCCTCGTCGTCTTCACATTCACATTCTAAAAATGTAAGTAATACACGTGATATAAACTTGTGGAATGGTTCTTCGGCATTTAATAATGTCAATGGTGCAACTGTTCCTACTTCTACTGTCACCACCAATAGCACACACACACACCTATCTAGCATAGGTTTACCTCACTCACTTAATGATGCTGTCTTCTCGTCTACTGATGATGGAGTCAATATGAAAGCTATTCAACAACGAACAGAAAAAGGAGGTGATACCAAAGCAGGGCTACAACAAAAACGACAAGAAATTAATGAAGAATGCACAGAACATCAAAAATTATTGTCTCCTAGCAATTCTAATTTGCATTGATTCGTAACTTGCTTACTCATTCCTTTCTCAGTAGTATTGTGTACATGTATGCGAATAATATAGGAGACAATTTACACATATATATATGTATGTATGAAATCTTCTCTTCTATTTTATTATTACCTATTTCTTATCTGTTGTACAGTTGTTTTTCTTTATTGTTTGTAACCAGTGTAATCTGTATACCTGTATAATCTCTATGCTTGAGTTATCCAACCAGTAGCTATCTTGTTAAATATATATATGTATATCCATTATAATAATAAAGGTTTTTGTATTTCCCAATGTGAATGAAAAACAAAACGATATTGTTTTTACTGACGTTTCGCTATTTAATGCTAATAGCTTTATCGAAGTATTATATATATATATATATATCCAGTTATGATTTTATCATGGTTTCTTCCTTCTACTGTATGTGATGTCTATGCTTATTAGTGTGGTGGTTTATACTCTTGGACACATGACATTATTTCTTCGGAATCCCTTTGTCACAATGTAAAGTGTTTAACTTCTTAACTTTATTCATAATATCCAGTGGTTACCTAGTTAGTTAGTTAATTAGTCAGTTTGCATTACTGTTATTTATCAGCATAACCTTGAGTCTTTGGGATTATGGCATGACGATTGAATACGCAATAATAATAATAATAGTAATTATGTTACTGATGTTTATTTGCCCAGTGTTCCTTCCAGTCGTAAATTTATCGGGTATTATTTCACCTTTTTCTTATTTTATATAAAATAATAATAAATCCCGGTGAATTTGACTATCTATCTGCATATATATTTTAAATGGACAACTTATCACTAACACTACAACTACATCTACACATACTACTGAAGTACCATTGTCAGTAGCACTGTGTGTGTATCTGTGCGCGCCTGGTGTACAAGTATAAATGTCAATATTTTGTGATCTTGTTTTATTATCCAAGGGGTTTTGAATTCCCTCTTCCTTGGTATATATTCAATTTTCTTTTCTTTTTTTTTTGAAATTGATTTGGAAGTTTTCTTTAAAACAATCTCCATTTCTTTTTAAAAAATTCCTGTTTCTCTTTTCTTTTGTTTTGTGGCTGGTGTTCTCTACTTTTCTCATATTTATCATCATTTCTTTCTTTGAATTATTGAAGATTAAATTAGCATTATTACTATTATTTTTCCTTCTGGTTTGAAATTAAATGTCTTTACAATTTCTGTCTCTGTTGTATCAAATTGAGTGAAAAGAAACCCAGTAATAATAACAACAATAAAATAAAAATTCCATTCGTTCACTGTTCCTTCTTCTTTCCAATGCGTGATTTGATTGTATGGCTTTTTTTTATATATAATTTCAGATATGACGGCGGGTATCATGCTTTTATATATATATATATATATATATATATATATATATATAGTTTTGTTGTTGATTTAATTTTGGATGAATTTGACTAAAAGTATATTGTAGTCTATTATTGAGTAGTAAGGGGAGGGTGACATACTAAGATATAATTACTCAGAAGTGTCTTTAGAAGTAAAAAAGAAAAGAAAATTTGTAAATTACTTAATACTCAATGGACTTCGCCGATGATATATGTCTGATTTCCCACAAATTGAAAGATATGCAAGCGAAAAGCAACAAGTTGGCAGGAGAAGCATCCAGAGAAGATAGGACTTCAGGTGAACATAGAGAAATCAAAGGTGATGAAGATTCCTGGCCAACACCAACAGCAACAACAACAGACAACAATCAGCATAAATGAGAGGAACCTGAAAGAAACAACCTCTTTTATCTACCTGGGAAGCATCGTTTCAACTACAGGCTAACGGAAGTGATAAGAATATCAAAGCAAGAATCGGGAAAGCAAGACAAGCTTTCACTACTCTCAAGTCTGTGTGGAGGTCAATAGCACTCAGCATCAAAAATAAGATCCAGATTTTCAACTCCAATGTGAAGTCAGTCAGTGCTACTATACGGATCAGAGACTTGCACTGTGCGTCATAAAGAGCATCTCAAACAAACTACAGAGCTTCATTAACAGTTGTCTTCGCTCAATGCTACTCGAGATCAGATTGTCGGCCAGAAAAGATCAGCAACAGAGATGTCTGGCAATGAGCGAACCAACACAGCAGGAACCGATTGTGAAACAAATAGGTAGGAAGAAATGGAGATGGATTGGAGGCCATACTCTGAGGAAACCATCAAGTGACATCACTAGACAAGCCATTGCTCGAGTGGAACTCGGCCGAAAAGGAAGTGGCGAGTTGGTCGTCAGTGCAAGGGTGACTTGGAGGAGGTCATGTGAAGAGGAGATGAAAGCGTGTGGGCAGACTTGGAGCCAGGTGAAAACTCTGGCAGAGTACCGAACGCAATGGAGACGCACGGTTGAAGCTCTATGTTCCTCTGGAAATTAAAGGAAACAATAATAATATAATAATGCAATGGCACAAAAGAAGAAAGTGTAAAAATTTTAATAAGGTTAAAATTGCTATTAAGTAAGAAAAGACTAAAAGTAGCTGAGTGTCAACTTAACACGTGTGAAGAGGGTGTGAAAATGTACATATGAGAGTGATAACAGTGAATTAATTATTAAAGTAAAATTGAAAGTTAAAAATTTTTTTCCGAGAACGACTGGCGAAGAGGTTAAGACCATGGTAGAATAAGAGGCTGAACAATCTTCTTGTGTATACAGAATTCGGGGTTGTATAGACGAATTGCCGATGCCTCCGCTATACACAAATGTCGAAAGCTGACGCCCTTTGTACCACTTGGCCTCACCTTGTAGATGATTTTGAAAGACGACCGTGGTGGAGCTACGTGGCTTGCTCGAGAATTGAGCTGGTAGCTGTCTTGCATTGTCCTTTTGTTAACTAACCATGCGGCATAATGTTCAGAGATGCGTTTGGAAAGTGTGCACATTGTGTGGCCAATATAACTGGCTCCACACAAGCAGGTGAAGTTTGTCCAGTCTCTCATTTGACCCATGGTCTTAACCTCTTCAGTAGTCGTCGTTCCCTGTGAAATTTGTATTTTTCATTTTTAATGATTGCTTTGCTTTTGCTGTAATCATTAATTCACTATTATCACTCTCACATGTTCCTTTTGTATGTTTTCTCATCCTCTTCACACTTGCTAAATTGACACTCAACTACCTTCCTTCTCACTCAATAACAATTTTAACCTTATCAAATTTCTAACCCTTTCTTCCTTTTTGCCGTTGAGTATAACGTAATTTACAACTTCTATTTTTTTTTACTTCTGAAGTGACTTCTGAGTAATTAGTAGTAGTAGTAGTACCTTGAAATGTATTATAAACTGGGTTAATTATTATTATTATTATAAGTAATTATTTCTATACGGACAAACTTCACAAGTGTGTGTGTGTGTGTGTAGATCTTGTAGTAAACAAGGTTGGCTTTCGTTGAACATTAGCAACAACTGAGTGTGAAACTTTATTGATCATGTTAGCTGAAGGACTTTTGAATGATCTATATAATCTATTAATTTATTTATATATGTTGGAAAAGCACTGTATTCTGCGTGATCTTCTTCAACTTCTCAATAATAATCAGCATAAAAGTCTTTGTAATGCTTTCAGTAAAATTGTAAACTTGACGTTGAATATATATATTTGTATTTAAAAAAACAAAATTGTACAATCAATTTGTCATGATAAAAATGAATATTAAACACTGTATACAATTTTAATAGAATAGAAGAAATTTAGTGTGAAATAAGTTCGATGATATTAAATGGTTTGAGGCAATCGGCCACAGGAAGCCTTGCTTGACCTAGGTTTCGTGCTAGTTTGCACTCAACCAGTCAGCAAGGCGTATCTGCAACTCTCGTCCCTTCTGAGGTTCGAACCCGCGTCACCCAGTGCTGCAGTCGGAGACGTTACCACTGAGCTATTCAGTCTCGCGATTGACCTCCTTCCTGTAGGACTGTATTGGATACTTTGACTGGACGCTAGTCTGTAACTAGTGTGGTGTGTCTAGTCCTTTGTTTGGTGCAGACTGAACTTTGTCAGTGAGGTTTGCAATGTGGCCACCATTCTAGGTAGGTTGCCATCAAGGTTACAGGTACGTCTTGCTGACTGGTGAGTGCCAACTAGCACAAAGTCTAGGTCAAGCAAGGCTTCCTGTGGCCGATTGCCTCCAACCATCTGATATCATCAAATCAATTGGGCACCGTAATGGGGAGCCACCTAGAAAATGCTGGTCACATTGCAGACCTGACTGACAGAATTCAGTCTGCATCAAAGAAAGGACTAACCAGACACATCAAACTAGTTACTAGTATCCAATCAAAGTAATTAAAAGTTCATCAATTAACTTCATTGTCTTATTTGAGATAGTAGAAACATTCAATTTACCTAAGTATCTTTTGATGCTTACATTATCATAAGCTATGTGCATTGTTACGCACGCGTAAGGAGTAGCTAATTTCTGAATTACAACTGACATTTATTCAACTAGACATTTGTGTTCTAACAATGCTAATATTATTTCTGATCTACTGTGTATAGAGGAGATAACTACAATGAAGTCGGGAACCATCAAAATATAATATGGTTGTTACTGTAGCGTACACATGATTCTATCTTTTTAGTTTGACGAAAGTCGAAGAAGTTGAAGAGGTGACATGAATCATCTGTTGAACTGTCAACTGTTTGTTGAGAGGTGGTCCAAGTGACTGCTGAGATTGACAGATAAAATTAGGTGATATAACTAAAAAAACATTATGCATGGTAACTTGGATACCTTAATATTGACGTGCGTCGGTGGCACAGTTGTTAGGACTCTCGCCGACCATGCACATGGTCCGGAGCTCAATCCTCTGCCGACACATACCTGATATCGATTGGTCGGCCTGCAAAATTTGGGCTACCGATATCAAATGCTGAAAATTCCATACTTGTACCAAGAATACAGTGTGGAATCAAGCTATATAATTTGAAGAAACCTTTTCTTACTCCTAATTTCTACTGTTAGTCTTTGTTTAACTTACAAAGATTTCGAGTGCTCTATCATTTATGATTGGTGCACATACATAGTCTAATCTTCATGTTTTATGTTAACAATATTCCTCTAATGATTCATCCTACTTTTTTTTCATTTAGAAAAATGACTACATTTGATAATACTGATCCTGAAGAGGAGATTTATGAGAAAACATCTTTAGATAGAAATGACGATAAAGATAATAAGAATACTGATGGTGATAATGATGATGGTGATAGCAATAAAGATCAATCAATCGGTCATATGCGTGATGAAGCTTTAAGACGTAAAGAACGCTTGAAACAATTACGTATGAAGAATGCATCACAGAAAAGTATCATACATGTACAAAATGATGATGGGGAATTGCCTAAACCAATATTTCGTAATTATAAACCACAATCAGAAGAATTAAAAGATGGTGAACTACCAGCTGGTAAACCAGTTGACTGTAAGTTTAAAAAATAAAACTTTTGAATTGAAAAGTGTCTGAGTGTCATTAAAACAAAAACGATTTCAAAATATTCATATGTTGATTGGTTACAGGATTTCATCATGAGCTGATATCAGTTAGAGAACCACTGGAAAACCTGGAAGTACTGGACAGCCAGCTGTTTCGCCAGCCTAGTTTGGAACTCTTCATCAGTACTCACCCACCGGGATTCGAACCCAGGACCTTCTGGTTACGAGGTGAGCTCGTAGAACGTTGAGCCACTGGGACCCGATCCAATGGTCCTTGAATTCAAACTTCTGCCAATTCACGACATAGCGCGACCATTTCGCAATGTCTTCTTCGATGAGTTACTGCCTCATCTTCAACCTGCTGTACCCTACTGGTCATGGCTTTTCAATAGAATTCCGGTGGGTGCGTACTGATGAAGAGTATCAAACTAGGACGAAACAGCTGTCCAGTACTCCCAGGTTTTCCAGTGGTTCTCTAACTGATGTCAGCTCATGATGAAATCCTCCATGCAATCAAACAAAATCCCTGCGAAACCAATACTTGAAAATTAGAATTTATTTATCAATAACTCTAAAGTAAACACTAAAAACTAAACTAAGTGACAGGAATCTGTTGTTCACGTTTTCCTTCCGCTATAATTTTCATATATCTGATATTTCAATTTGTATGACATGTTGATGATTATCAGAATTTCTATTTCTCTTCATAACACACAGTTCAGTTTATCATAAACGGAAATACTTTGTTTGATTAGTAAATGTTAAAGTAAACTCAGCGCTAAAGTTTACAGGATTTCAGTTGATATTATTTTTACCTAACTA